GTTTTATTCACATAGATGTAATGGAAGGTACTGATTAATTCACAAAGACCTCTTTGTTGTTTGGTCAACCAAATACTATTGAACTTTTGTTAACCCTAGGGTTGTAATTTACCTTTATATAGTCAAATGTATCAATTATTTTCTATATGGTCAGTACTTGCTTCCTTTTTATTGAGGTATAACTTTCATACAATAAAAGGTACAGCTCAATGATGTTTACACAGGAACGTATGTAACCACACACCACCACCCAGATCAAGATGCAGAACATTCCCAGCACTCCAATAGGCTCCTGCCTTCTCCCCCTCGTGCCCCTCCCACTGTTCTCATCTCTATCATGATTGATTAGTTTTGCCTGTTTTTGAACTTTGTGAGAATGAAATAATACATTATGTATTCATTTGTGCTTTACTTCTTTCACACAGCATTTTGTCAGTGAGATGCATTCATATTCTTTTTTTTTTTTTTTTGAGACAGAGTTTCGCCCTTGTTACCCAGGCTGGAGTGCAATGGCGCGATCTCGGCTCACCGCAACCTCCGCCTCCTGGGTTCAGGCAATTCTCCTGCCTCAGCCTCCTGAGTAGCTGGGATTACAGGCACGTGCCACCATGTCCAGCTAATTTTTTGCACTTTTAGTAGAGACAGGGTTTCACCATGTTGACCAGGATGGTCTCGATCTCTTGACCTCATGATCCACCCGCCTCGGCCTCCCAAAGTGCTGGGATTACAGGCTTGAGCCACCGCGCCCGGCTTTTTTTTTTTTTGAGATAGCTTTTTGCTCTTGTTGCCCAGGCTGGAGTGCAATGGTGCCATCACGGCTCACCGCAACCTCCACCTCCTGGGTTCAAGTTATTCTCCTTTCTCAGCCTCCCAAGTAGCTGGGACTACAGGCATGTGCCACCACGCCAAGCTAATTTTTTGTATTTTTTTTTTTTTTAGTAGAGATGGGGTTTCACCACATTAGCCAGGATGGTCTTGATCTACTGACCTTGTGATCTGCGCTCCTTGGCCTCCCAAAGTGCTGGGATTACAGGCGTGAGCTACTGCACCCTGCGTCATATTCTTGCCTGCAGCAGTATTTTATTCTTTCTCATTGCTTGTGGTATTCCATTGTATGACTGTACTATATTTCTACTTTTGCGAGATGTTTGAATTGTTTCCAGTTTGGGACTATTATGAATAACAGTGTTATGACCATTTCTGTAGATGTCTTTTTGTGAACATAAGCACTTATTTCTCATAGGAATATACCTAGAAGTAGAATTGCTGTGACTTCAGGGATATGGATGTTTGACTTTAGTAGATAGATAGTGTCAATGCTTCTATGTGGTTGTAATAATTTTATTTCCCCCAGCAATGTATGAGAATTCTGTCGCTTTACATCCTCACCAACACTTGTTATTGTCAGTTTTTTCACTTTTAGCTATTCTTGTGGGGAAAATATAAACTACTAATATTGTAATCAAGAAGAGGTAGACTAATACGTGTTTAAAATAATCCTTAAAGACTCCCTTTGCCCCCAAACAAAAAAAGGCCTGAAGGCTTTATAGGTCATTTCTACCAAACAAAAATGTTCGTATGTATGTGAATGTGTGTGTGTGTTGTGCACTGTTCAAAGAGTAGAAAAAGAATGAAGGTTCCCGACTCATTTTAGAAGACAAGTATAATTCTGATCCCAAAATCAGAACAAGATGGTTAAAAGGAAAGAAAATTATAGGCCCATGTCAGTTATACATAGATTTTAAAAATCCTAAATAAAATATTAGCTAACTAAGTCCAACAGTGCACCTGCTTTAAATATGTATTACGATCAGATGGATTTCATTCTATAAATGTAACATTCCAAAAATCTGTTAACACACTTCAATGGTAGACTAAAGGAGATAATTCTTACAAGTATATCAATTGATGAAAAACATTTTTTTTTTTTTTTTTTTTTTTTTTTTTTCTAAAGATGATTACCTTAAGGAATAAATAACTCTCAGAAAACTAAGAAGAGTGTTCCTTAGTTTGGGAAAGAGTATCTACAAACAAACTGGAGCAAATGTTATGTTCAATAGAAAAACTTTAAGTGCACTCCCCTTAAGATCTGGAATAAGAGGCCGGGCGCGGTGGCTCAAGCCTGTAATCCCAGCACTTTGGGAGGCTGAGGCGGGTGGATCACGAGGTCAAGAGATCGAGACCATCCTGGTCAACATGGTGAAACCCCGTCTCTACTAAAGGTGCAAAAAATTAGCTGGGCATGGTGGCGCGTGCCTGTAATCCTAGCTACTCCGGAGGCTGAGGCAGGAGAATTGCCTGAACCCAGGAGGCGGAGGTTGCAGTGAGCCGAGATCGCGCCATTGCACTCCTGCCTGGGTAACAAGAGCGAAACTCGGTCTCAAAAAAAAAAAAAAAAAAAAAGATCTGGAATAAGACAAGGATGCCCACTGCCACACCTGTTGTTTAACCTATTACAGGAGGTACTGGAAAATGCTAAAAGAAAAAGAAATAAGGTGTATAAACTGAAAGGAAGGGATAAACTTGTCATTATTTGCAGATAACGTGGTCATCTTTCTCTAAACATTTCTGGAATCCATGGCCACTACACACGTAATTCAGTTTCCCAACAGCTCTCACCTAGATAGTCACAACTGCCCCCTAGTTTCCTAAACTCTGGCCTGGTCCACCTTCCACAGTGTACAGTCTGCCTGTCTTTCTTCCTTTCCTCCTTCCCTTCGTTCTTTCCTTTTGTTATAGAAGAGGTACGCATTCCTTACAGAAAGTATGGAAAATGTAAATTGCCAGATAAAAACAGCTGATGAAATTATTTTGGTTTAGTCCTTTCCAGATTTTTTTCTAGGTAGATACACATTTATGAAGAGACCACTCACTCTCCCTGATGAGACTCTGTAAAGCAGTTCTCCATCCCATCGTGTGATTCCATCTCCTTCCTAGCTCTTGTTACCATCAAAACTTACATGATCAATTTTATTGTCTATTTGCTTAGTGTTTTTCCTTCTACACTAGATATAAGCTCCACCGGTAGCTATTTGTATCTCATTCACCCACTGCATGCCGAGTCTAGAACAGTGCCTGGCACATACATTCATTTATGTACTGTGATCCCTGCCTTCATATAAATGAGTCTATTAGAGATACATCTTAAATAATTAAACAATTAATTAACTACAACTAGGTCAAGTGTTTCAGGCAGCCAATTGCTCTATCCCCTTCTGGCTCCAAGGGCCATTCCCTTACCCTGTGGGCAATTTCTGCTTTAAGACTGTGGTTTCTGGCTGGGCGCGGTGGCTCAAGCCTGTAATCCCAGCACTTTGGGAGGCCGAGGTGGGTGGATCACGAGGTCGAGAAATCGAGACCATCCTGGTCAACATGGTGAAACCCCATCTCTACTAAAAATACAGAAAATTAGCTGGGCATGGTGGCACGTGCCTGTAATCCCAGCTACTCAGGGGGCTGAGGCAGGAGAATTGCCTGAACCCAGGAGGCGGAGGTTGCGGTGAGCCGAGATCGCGCCATTGCACTCCAGCCTGGGTGACAAGAGCGAAACTCCGTCTCAAAAAAAAAAAAAAAAGAGACTGTGGTTTCCTCTGGAAACTGTTTGGAGCGCAGTGGATCAATCAGGCCCAAGAAAAGATTTGGACCTCCAGGCCTGGTTCTCCAAAGTTCTGGGGCCTAGTCAGGCTTTTGGCTACAGCTGTTGTATCCCCCAGTCTTCTCCAGGCCAGAACAGGCTACAGCCTTTACAGCTAACTTGTGCGAGCTGCCTGCTCCTCTAGCCCCTGCTGGGATCTTTGGCAGTCTTGACTTGGGGTCTGGCCTTCTTAATTCCTTAACAAGACCCACCCCATGCCCCAGGCTATGTGTCCCTCCAGTTGACAGGCAGACTGCTGAAGCTGGGAGCTGCTTTCCTTGGTCCCTTCTGCCCTTCCTCAGGACCTCCTGTCTGTCTCTCTCTTTCCAGGAAGATCAGCAGGTTTATTCCCTTGAGGGATACTTGGCTGCTCCCTGCTTGGGGCTGTGTTTTCGGCTTCTTCATAACCCAGAGAGTGCAGCTAGCTCCTGTACTAGTGAAGTTCCACGAAGCTGGCTCCAGGAAAGCCCCACAAGGCCACAACCCCCATGTATCTCCATCAGAGGAGGTGCAAATGAGGGTCCACACCTTACTTCATTTTGGCAGCCGCCCTAGGAAGCTCTGCCTTTATTTCTTCACCTTCAGTTGTCACAATATTTTGTTTGTTTTTTTGTTTTGAAACGGAGTCTCTCTCTGTCGCCTAGGCTGGAGTGCAATGGCACAATCTCGGCTCACTGCAACCTCCGCCTCCTGTGTTCAAGCGATTCTCTTGCCTTAGCCTCCTGAATAGCTGGGATTACAGGTGCGCGCCACCACGCCCGGCTAATTTTTGTACTTTTAGTGTAGACAGGGTTTCACGATGTTGGTCAGGCTGGTCTCGAACTCCTGACCTCGTAATCGCCCGCCTCAGTCTCCCAAAGTGCTGAGATAACAGGCGTGACCCACCGCGCCCGGCCCAGCTTATCAGTGTTCCCTCTTCACCTCCAAGCTTAGCACAGTGCCTGGTACATATTAGCACTTAGTGAACAGGGGGCAATTCTAATCATTAACTCATTTAATTAAAAAATATCCCAGGCATTGTGCTAATGTTTTACATGGATGTTTGGTATTTCAATTTACACAGGTGCCATTACAATTTCCATTCTGCAAATGAAGAAACAGGTTCAGAGAAATGAAGTGACTTCCCAAGGTCACAAAGTTCTGGTATCTCTTTTCACTGCCTGAGATGCAGCGGAGCATCGTAAAGGGAAAATGCCAGAAAGCAGGCAGCGCACAAATGCGAACCGGCTGGCGGGAGAAGCAAACGGTGGTAAGCTCAGTGCGGCCAGTAGCTTTCGTCCTCGGTTGCCAGTCGGGTCCGTTTTCTAAAACACCGACCGGAAGTGTTTCTGTCGGCCGCGTTTCCAATGAGCACCGCCGGAAGTTTCTGCCGCGGCTTGGCGGGGACGGGGGAGTGGTAGTGGGGGCTGCTGCCGAGGGACCCAGGTGCAGAGGCGTGAGGGGCCAGGTGGCTGAAGGGGCCGTTAGGAACATCCAAGCGGTGGGACACAGGCAGTACCCCGACCTGACCTGGACCACCCTCTTCCTCGCGGCCCGCTTCTTCATTTCGCCTCCACTTGGGTCTGGAGTGTCCCTGTCCACTGAGCTGAGCCTGGTCCTTCCTCAGGCACTGACCCTCGACTTTGGGTCGCTCCCCCATCTCTCAGGCGCAATGGCTACGGGCGCGGATGTACGGGACATTCTAGAACTCGGGGGTCCAGAAGGGGATGCAGCCTTAGGGACCATCAGCAAGAAGGACATTATCAACCCGGACAAGGTAGCAGGGGCACCTGAAAGCGTTGGCTAAGGGAGGGTAGGGGAGTGAAGATGGGGAGGAGTGACAGCGGAAGAGAGATGGGGCAAGGGATGGGCGTTACACTTTTAGTGAGTTGGACGACAAGAGGGGTGACATAACGGGACAGAGAATTTGTGTCATCCTTGATGGGAGGGAGGTGGGACATCGTGGGAGATGGTGGGACCAAGAGGGTGCGACACCTCTTAAGAGATGAGAGGACCAGGCGAGTGTGACGTTTGCAAGATGTTGTAGGGGAGAGATCAAGACATTGTGACAGTCAGAGATGGTGGGATGGGGAGTGGACTGCTCTGATTTGGGGATAGGGTGGTGTCCTCGGGAATGGGTTTCTGTGCCGTTACGGTATGTCAGGATACCTGTCATTGACCTTGTAGGTGCTGGTTTGTTCAGGGATTGAACTGGACTAAATAATTTTCAGGAAAGCGGGTGTAGGCTGTGGTTCCTTTCTGTGGTTTCCTTCCTCAGAAAAAATCCAAGAAGTCCTCCGAGACATTGACTTTCAAGAGGCCTGAGGGCATGCACCGGGAGGTCTATGCCCTGCTCTACTCGGACAAGAAGCAAGTATTGGAATCCCAAGTTCCCCGGGTTCCGGGCCCTGATTCACTTGCCATGTCCCTAACTCCTAGTTTTCTCTTCCAATTCCCTCCTCCCTAGCCAGGGCTCCTGCTTGCTTAGCAGGATGCAAGAGGACCTGCAATCTCTTGCTCCAGGACATGACTTTCTTGCTGTAGGGTAGGGTAGGGTAGATCAGCTCCCTGGGACAAAAAGCTCTTTGACACCCTTCTGACCCTAACCTCCCACCTCCCTAAACCTCACTGCCAGGGATGCACCCCCACTGCTACCCAGTGACACCGGTCAGGGCTACCGTACAGTGAAGGCCAAGTTGGGCTCCAAGAAGGTGCGGCCTTGGAAGTGGATGCCATTCACCAACCCTGCCCGTAAGGATGGAGCAATGTTCTTCCACTGGCGACGTGCAGCAGAGGAGGGCAAGGACTACCCCTTTGCCAGGTTCAATAAGGTGAGCTACTTTCATTCGAACACAGCCCAAGATTGCCCTCCAACTTTGAGCCATCTGTGCAAGCTCTCCAGTCTCCTAGGGTTGGCTCCAGGGGCACGCTTATGCCCAACTGTGGTTACCCACCCAGTCCTCTTGGCAATGCACGTGGTTACCCACCCACTCCTTGTGGCAGTGCATGCAGAGTGGGACTCCACGGGTCTTTGCTGCCCACGGGATCCTGTTCTTCCCCAGATCTGCTCTGGTTTTTCACGCCTTCTCTTGGCCTTGCAAATTTTGCTGTTCCTCAGAGCTGTATCCTAGGTGCTCTGCTCTTGTTGCTCTATACTTCCTTAGTATGAACCCTTTGGCTTCAGTTACCCTCTATATGTCACCAATCCAGGGCCACGGTTCCTTCACATCCAGTCATTTACTAATATCTCTGAATGCCCCACAGGTACCTTAGACCAGGTAGGTACCCCTCGCTTTGTCTGTCCCAAATCTGTTCCCCATCTCAGTGAATGGCACCATTTTCCACCCAGTTGCCCAAACCAGGAACTAGGGGGATTGTCCTTGACTTAGTCTTCTCCTTTAGCCCTCACAGTATGTAAATCAAAAGACTGAACTTGTTAGGGGTAGGGGAGTCCTACCTTCAATAGGTTGGTCAGGGAGGGCCTCTCTGAGAAGGTGGCATTTGAGCTAGATGCCAGTGGCATCTATTTATTGAGTTCTGTTGATTCTGTTTCCATAATAAATCACATCACTGACTATATTTTTCACCTCCTATGACAGCCCCTTAGTTCAAGCTGAGTTACCTCTGGTCTAGATTACTCCAGCTCAGCAGAGCAGGGCCTTCCCAGACTCTTCCAGCCAGTGACAGGCAGGGCTAGATTGGGCTAGGGCAGGCGTCCCCAAACGACGGCCCGCGGGCTGCATGCGGCCCCCTGAGGCCATTTATCCGGCCCCCTCCGCACTTCAGGAAGGGGCACCTCTTTCATTGGTGGTCAGTGAGAGGAGCACAGTATGTGACGGCCCTCTCAACGGTCTGAGGGACAGTGAACTGGCCCCCTGTGTAAAAAGTTTAGGGATGCCTGGGCTAGGGTTTCCTAATCAATTACTTAAGCCAGTGTACAGTGTGGCCTCACAGTTGCTGCAGCCTGGAATAATCTAGACTGAGAGCCGAAAAGCACTAGGGACTCAAACCCAGGACTCAAGTTCCAGCCTTTCTCTTCTCAGCCCAGTATATCCATCTGCACCTGAATGCCTCCCCCTGGATGACTTACAGGCTTCTCAGACTGAGCATGGCCAGGTATGCAGCCATCTTTTTCCCCCTTCCCCAAACACGGTTTTCTTCCATTTTACCATTATCCTGAGACTCCTCAGACCCGGTAGAGGGAAAGGCTGGAGATGTAAGACTGAGAAGGGACAAGTAAGAGGTGAGGGATCTGAGGCAGTCGCAGGGAAGGCTGATAAGTTGAGGTGGAGATGAAAGAATATTCATTTTATAGTTAGTAAATACTGCTCTGTGCCAATTCAAGTCCTAGGCACTGAGAACACAAAAATGAATCAGACACAATGTCTTTAAAAAACTCCATATTGCTGGCCAAAGGGTTAGGGCAGGTACAGGCAATTATAATTTGCGGGGATACATGCCATACTGGGAGGACCTGAACGTCATGGAAACTTCCTGGAGTAGGTCGAGTCAGTCTTGAAGGATGTCACCAGGTGGTATTATGAGAGGAGTGCAGTGACTTCAGGCGGCAGGAACAGCATGGTCGGAATGAATAAAATTTTTTTTCAGTTCACATGTATGGGATGCTATGGGCATTTCCACTGTTGATGAAGCCTAAAGCCCTGAGGTGTAGGATGTGGTGGGAGATGAGGCCTGAGAGGTCAGCAGTGGCCAGGCCAAGCAGAGCCTTGGTAACCAGGCCCAGGAATTCGGTTTTTACCCTCTTGTCTTTGGTAGCCAGTGGTAGATTTTAGCCACAGTAGTGTTAGGATTAGATGTGAATTTTAGGAAGATCGTGGTGATCTGTCTAAAACTGCAGCAACTGTGCAGCCACACTGTACACTGGCTTAAGTAATGGGCTAGGAAATCCTGGCCCAATCTAGCTCTGCCTGTCACTGCTGGGTGAGTCTGGGAAGGCCCTGCTCTGCTGAGCGTCAGTAATCTAGACCAGCAATAACTCAGCTTGGACCAGGGGCCTGGCATAGGGGGTGAATATACAAAGTGAATATTCTTTTGTCTCCACTTCAGTTTGTCTCATCCAACCTTCCCTCCCATTCGCCTCAGATGCCTTACCTCTTGGGTTTTAGAAAGATCTTTGATGGGGTAGAAAATGGAGCTGGAGTAAAATGAAGTAACAGTCTTCCTCCCCAATATCGCTCCTCTTGGCAGTCCCTCTCTCAGTCAGTAGCGCCCCCATCCACTGTCTTACGCAAGCCAGAAACACAGGAGTCACCCAGGAGAGCATCTTCCCTCACCCTTCACATCCAAATCCTGTGGTTTTTATCTCCTAAAGCCTCTCAAGCCTGCCATTTTCTCTTTCTTCCCCTCTGCTGTTTTCGTTCTGGCCTCTTCACTTCTCACCGGCATTATTTCTAAAATGTGCCAGCTGGTCTCCCAGACTCGTTTAACTTCTCCATCCTCACTGCTGCCAGGGTGGTCTTTGTGAAAGACAGGCATGACCATTTGACTCCTTATGATGAGCCTTACTGGCTGCCATGCACCAGATGGGTTCTGGACTCCTTAGCCGGCATATAGGCCTCTAGAAGCTGGCCTCTGCTGGCGTGCCAGCTCTTTTCATACCTTCTGTCTCACTCTTGTTTCCCCAACTTGTCCCCAACTGCCAGGTCCACACCCATCAGGCTGCCTTTCCTTCATGAATGTGTCTGTGTTGCTCCCTGTGCCTAGGATTTTCCTCCCCATCTTCTCTCATGGGTTCCCTTTTACTTAACCTTAAGACTGAACCAGGTCTCATTTACCTCTTCTCTAACTAATCTTTGTCCCTAAGCTGGAGTGTCCCTTATTATACCCTATGTATCAGACTTGCCACACTGTACCAAAATTACTTTTTCAGCTACAGTATGAGCTTCGAGAGGCTAAAATCCCTGCCTGTCATATTCAGCATTGCCTCCAGCATAGATATTACAGGCCCATGATAAATATTTGTTGAATGAATGAAAAAAATGTCTTCTTCACTTGACTATGAGCTACTTGAGAGGACTGGCTACACAGTTCCTGAGGGTTTTTTTTTTTTTTTTCTTTTTTCCTTCTTTGAGACAGGGTCTCTGTCGGCCAGGCTGGAGTGCAGTGATATGATCTCAGCTCACTGCATCCTCTATCTCCAGGGCTCAAGCGATCCTCCCACCTCAGCCTTTTAAGTAGCTGGGACCACCAGCGTGTACCAACATGCCTGGCTAATTTTTGTGTCTTTTTTAGAGATCGAGTTTTACCGGGTTTCCCAGGGTGGTCTCAAACTCTTGGACTCAAGCAGCCCACTCACCTCAGCCTCCTAAAGTGTTGGGATTATAGGTGTGAGCCATCGTACCTGGCCCTGAGTTTTTGTTTTTTTTTTTTTTTTTTTTTTTTTTTAGTTAAATTGAATTAAAATGCATAGGAGAAATATGTAACCAAACCTGGGAAACCAGAGACTTGATGATGCCTGAGAGCTCGAAAGGATGAGAAAGTTATCTAGGTAGAAGGAATGTGGAAGTGGAAGGCATTTCAGGCAAGAGCAGAGGTCAAGAGGGAACTGTGGTATGTTCTAGAAACTGCTAAGTCATTTGGCTGCAATTTAGGGTTCATGAGGGACAGTGACTATGGGAGGAGCCAGGTCATTTATTTGTGTGTTCATTAACGGATTTGGTAGACACTGATAGGTACAGTGTGCTGAGTCCTAAAGTTGGGAGATGCACTGGACAACCCTTGCTCTTGAAGAGTTTGTGAATTATCTAGAAACTGCTTTATCTTAGATGGAGAGCCTTTGAGGAGTTTAATAAGGGATGGTCGGGGGGAATTATAAGATATATATTCTAGAACACTAGGAGAGTGTGTCTCAAATTATCTGTGGTAAAGGACAGTTTTCTATTTTATTTCCAATCCATCAGAGACTGATAAAGATAATAACATTATAAAGACAAATACAAGTCCATGTTTCTTCGTATTAGATTCAATAGCACAGCACACAAATACTGTAAAATTGTTATGTAAGTTTTTCAGTGTCTGCTCTCAGTTTCCACTCTTATCCTAGACCAGGGATAACTGTAAACAGCACTGGTTTGCAGACTGTCCTTTTTATTTATTTATTTATTTATTTATTTATTTATTTGAGATGGAGTTTCGCTCTTGTTACCCAGGCTGGAGTGCAATGGCGCGATCTCGGCTCACCGCAACCTCCGCCTCCTGGGTTCAGGCAATTCTCCTGCCTCAGCCTCCTGAGTAGCTGGGATTACAGGCACGCACCACCATGCCCAGCTAATTTTTTGTATTTTTAGTAGAGACGGGGTTTCACCATGTTGACCACGTTGGTCTCGATCTCTCGACCTCGTGATCCACCCGCCTCGGCCTCCCAAAGTGCTGGGATTACAGGCTTGAGCCACCGCGCCCGGCCTATTTATTTATTTTTAAGACGGAATTTCGCTCTTGTTACCCAGGCTGGAGTGCAATGGCGCGATCTAGGCTCACTGCAACCTCCGCCTCCTGGGTTCAGGCAATTCTCCTGCCTCAGCCTCCTGAGTAGCTGGGATTACAGGCACGCACCACCATGCCCAGCTAATTTTTTGTATTTTTAGTAGAGACAGGGTTTCACCATGTTGATCAGGATGGTCTCGATCTCTTGACCTTGTGATCCACCCGCCTCAGCCTCCCAAAGTGCTGGGATTACAGGCGTGAGCCACCGCGCCTGGCTGCAGACTGTCCTTTAAGTAGCACTGTTCAAAGAGATCACATCTTAGCTGCAGATGGAGCATTGATTGGAGGAGGATTGAATGAAGGCAGAGCTCAGCAGGGAGGCTATTTCTCTGATGCAGGCAGTGACAGTGGTAGGCTGGACTGGGAAGTGGCAACGGAGACAGAAATTTTGGAGGTAAAAGCCATAGATTTGGTGAAGGGGAGAAGTCAAGGGGAAAGGTAGGAATTAAAGATGCCGCCCAGGTTTCTGGCTTGAGCCACTGGATTGGGTGATGGTGATAGTGACTGAAATCTGGACTGGAGAAGATAATGTTTGAGGGAGGACGATCAGTTCAGTTCTGAGCTAAGTCTGAGGTGCATGGAAGACTCCAGAGATATCCAAAAGGCGAACAGTTTTGGAGCTGGCTGTGGTCTTCAACTGAGAAGAGAGACTTCCCTGATTTAGTCTAGCATTGACTCCATCTGGGTCTCTGACAGACCCAGCTGGTAGTAGTGCTGTTTGTCTCTGGGGGAGGTCTGTAAGATTGGGGTGTGGGAGAAGGGAGGAAGGGGCGTTGGCAGGGCTGCATATGTTGGGAGTAGGATTCAGGCCCATTTCTATGTTCTGTAGACCTGACCTTGGCAAACTCTGGGGAGCGGCAAGTCCCACTTTCCCCACTGGGTGGCAGTAGTGCTTCAGACAACAGTTGTATGGACTAGGGACTGCTGGGCCTTTCTCCAGGTATTTAACCATCTGTCTTGCTCCAGAGTTGATCTTTGGACTCCACAGAAGCACTTACATGTGGGCCCCTCACCTTACCATGGGGGCAGGAGTGTCTGTCCCATTACTGAGGCTCCAGAGCTGAAGACATAGTGAAGTTGCTCCCGGAATGAATCAGAGGCAGGCTGCAGTCCCAAACCCTGCTTATGGCCTGTAGTCAAGCAGACAGGTTCTTTTCTCACTCCATGCTGCAGGGGCACACGCCCAGGGGCTGGCAACAAACGGGAGGAGCTGTGGTCACAGGGGGCTGGAGCCTGCTGGACATGACATGATGTGGGCATGCCCCTACTGTGTCCCTCTGTGCCAGTAGACTGTGCAGGTACCTGTGTACTCAGAGCAGGAGTACCAGCTTTATCTCCATGATGATGCTTGGACTAAGGCAGAAACTGACCACCTCTTTGACCTCAGCCGCCGCTTTGACCTGCGTTTTGTTGTTATCCATGACCGTTATGACCACCAGCAGTTCAAGGTGAGCCACTGTGCATTTGCATGTGTGCCCAGCTCCCGGGTCTAGTAGACCCTACTTTTATGCATCCCTTCCACATGCCCCTGAATGGTTATTCCTCCACCCTGTCTTGCTCCTCAGAAGCGTTCTGTGGAAGACTTGAAGGAACGGTACTACCACATCTGTGCTAAGCTTGCCAATGTGCGGGCTGTGCCAGGCACAGACCTTAAGATACCAGTATTTGATGCTGGGCATGAACGACGGCGGAAGGAACAGCTCGAGCGGCTGTACAACCGGACCCCAGAGCAGGTTAACCCAAGGCCACGTACCTGTGCTCCATGCCCCAAACCCCTTGCCCATTCCCTCCATCCTCTGCAGCTTTCACCTCCCACTTGCAGGTCCCTGTGCCTCCCACCGGTACCCCAGTACCTGCCCCAAGCCCATTCCTACCTCTCACAGGCATCCCCCCTGATTTCATAGCCCTTCACCTCCCTCATGATCTCTTACTTCTCAGATTCCCTCATAGACAGCCCAGCACCCTGTCACCTCCGTGTCTACCCTCTCTCCTGGAAGTGCCCTCACACACTTTGCATCCCTCACTTTCCCAGGTGGCGGAGGAGGAGTACCTGCTGCAGGAGCTGCGCAAGATCGAGGCCCGGAAGAAGGAGCGGGAGAAGCGCAGCCAGGACCTGCAGAAGCTGATCACAGCGGCAGATACCACTGCAGAGCAGCGGCGCACGGAACGCAAGGCCCCCAAGAAGAAGCTACCACAGAAAAAGGAGGCTGAGAAGCCGGTGCGGAGGCTCAGCCAGCCTAGCTCAGGGTGGAAGGGTCACCTGGCACAAGGCCCCACCCTGGCTGGAGGGTTCTGAGAGCACTCAGTGCTGATGAGGTGCTGGGCCCTCTCCCTACGACACCTTGGTCTCCATAATGCCTTCTCCCCCAGGCTGTTCCTGAGACTGCAGGCATCAAGTTTCCAGACTTCAAGTCTGCAGGTGTCACGCTGCGGAGCCAACGGGTATGAGAGTTACCTCATTTAGCATGTTTGGGCCCTGGGCTCTCTGCTCTCAGCTCCACGGGGCAGGCAAGTGGGGCCAGAGCCATAGGAGATTGCTGCAGAGGTGGTCTCACCAGGATCTCAGGGATGTGGCCGGACTAAGATCACAGGTTTCACTATATTCAGCTTCCTGGCTATTTCCTTTTCTGGCTCATAGTTAACCTCTATGTGTTTACTGTTTCTTCCACCCCACTTTCCCACTGCCTTTTGTTTTTTTTTTTTTTTTTTGAGACGGAGTTTCACTCTTGTTACCCAAGCTGGAGTGCAATGGCGCGATCTCGGCTCACCGCAACCTCCGCCTCCTGGGTTCAGGCAATTCTCCTGCCTCAGCCTCCTGAGTAGCTGGGATTACAGGCACGCGCCGCCATGCCCAGCTAATTTTTTTGTATTTTTAGTAGAGACGGGGTTTCACCATGTTGACCAGGATGGTCTCGATCTCTTGACCTTGTGATCCACCCGCCTCGGCCTCCCAAAGTGCTGGGATTACAGGCTTGAGCCACTGCGCCCAGCATCCCACTGCCTTTTGTCCCCTTTATCCTAAGCGTCTTATGGCTGGGAGAGGCTTAGCTTGCCTGGTTTCATTGCAGATGAAGCTGCCAAGCTCTGTGGGACAGAAGAAGATCAAGGCCCTGGAACAGATGCTGCTGGAGCTTGGTGTGGGTGAGTATGGGGACTGGGCCCCATAGGGAGTACCCACCCGAGGCTGTGGATACAGGCTGGGCAGGGGGAGGATAGTTCCTGTTGCTGACCCTCTACCATACCTGGGCTCTGCCCCTGTGCTGCCCGCCGCTTGCCTGCAGAGCTGAGCCCGACACCTACGGAGGAGCTGGTACACATGTTCAACGAGCTGCGAAGTGACCTGGTGCTGCTCTACGAGCTCAAGCAGGCCTGTGCCAACTGCGAGTATGAGCTGCAGATGCTGCGGCACCGTCACGAGGCACTGGCCCGGGCTGGTGTGCTGGGGGGCCCTGCCACACCAGCATCAGGCCCAGGCCCGGCCTCTGCTGAGCCAGCAGTGACTGAACCCGGACTTGGCCCTGATCCCAAGGACACCATCATCGATGTGGTGGGCGCACCCCTCACGCCCAATTCGGTAAGAGCCTGGACAGGCTGGGAGGCATGCACATGATGTATGTCAGGCGTCCCCAAACTGCAGCCCCCTGAGGCCATGTATCCGGCCCCCTGCCACACTTCAGGAAGGGGCACCTCTTTCATTGGTGGTCAGTGAGAGGAGCACAGTATGTGGCGGCCTTCCAACGGTCTGAGGGACAGTGAACTGGCCCCCTGTGTAAAAAGTCTGGGGACGCCTGATGTAGGGGCTCCTGTCCCTCTAGTGCTTGCAGCAGGAATCATCATCACTTCTCTGTGGGTCTGAGACCCAGGGTAGGAGTGGTTGACCAGTGGGCATCCTTGTCACTGAGCGTGTGAAACACATGCACCAAGCCTGACTCAGGCCTTGGGGGTTCACTGACCTCAACGCCTTCTGTGTATCCTCAGAGAAAGCGACGGGAGTCAGCCTCCAGCTCCTCTTCTGTGAAGAAAGCCAAGAAGCCGTGAGAGGCCCCGCGGGGTGTGGGCAACGACGTTATGTCAATAGAATTGCTGAGTTGGACCAGACTGCTTCCTTTTCCTTTCCACCACTTCTGATGCCCCTAGTGGAGGGTGGGGCCAGGAGGGGATTGTCACAGCCACTCCATGGGGTGGCAGGTAGGTTTGCCTGTGTTGAGGTCTTTAGCAACTCTCTGACCACTAACCACTACCAGTTTTACCCAAACTCCTGCACCTCAGAGCACCTGTGGTTTACACTCAAGATGACTTTGCATACAGCCTGTGCTGACAGTCCCCACTTCCACAGATGTGTACATATTGAGTGAGGGTGTCACAGGTGCTGCAGGGATGGCCAGTCACACACAGATGGCCTTGTGCAGAGGCAGTCTGGAGCATGCTCTACCTACCTTCACGTCCTGAGAGCTTTAGCGCAGCAGCCTCACACACACATGGTTTTGCACACACCCCCAGTGCCTTGTTTCCCCGACTTTATTCAGTGGCACGTTCACAGCGGGGATGGGGGTAGACACAAGGTGGGGCCTGATCTGTCCTGGAGCCCTGGGGGCACCACACACCATGCACTATGGATGGGAGGGGGCACAGGGGGGCTTGGTGGCCCCACAGAAGCCTGTGTACCAGGGAGGAGGCGGTGAGTGCCTGGGTCCCCCTAGCCCAGGCCCACAATGGGAGGGGCTGATACTGGGCTGAGATCGAGGGGTGGGGATGGGGGTCACAAAGTGTCTGCTCCAGAAGGGCCAAGTGGCCAAGCCCTTGCCAAGGGCACAAGCCCACAGGGCAGCTGGGGGACACTCTGGACGCAGAGCTATGCCACTCTCCCTCTTCCCCTCTGGCGAGGGAGAGGATGATTCTGGGCTGGGCCAAACAGCTATCCTGTCCTGCCCCATCCTGTCCTTGGCCGATCAGAATGGCTTCGATGTCTGCTTGAAGATGAAGCCTCGGTAGGCGAGTGTCTTCATGATGTTGGCAATGTTCTTGCAGTCGTCTAAAAAGAAGAGAAGACATTTAGATCAGCCCCAGATCCTTCCCCTTCATGCCCACAGGTGCTCTTACAAGGGTAGGGGTGGGATGCAGGGTCAGATTCAGGAGCCACAGGCTCTAGAGAGGGTGGTCCTATCCCCTGCTGGCAGCATCCCTAGTTTCGGGTTGGGCTGGGTGATGCTGGGCCAGCAGGAAGCCTGGTCTCGATGCTTCTCAGTTCCATAATTCATGCTGGAAATTGGCCGGCATGTCCCGCCCCGGCCCCAGCGGTGATGTATGGGCGCCGTCGCAGTAAGAAAAAGGCAGAGTAAATGTGTAATTTCTCCCTTGACGGCCCCCGGCCGCTGGGCGATCCTTCTTGTTGCCGCCGCGTGGGGACGGTCCGTCCGCCACACTCCGTCTTCCCGCCACCCGCCTTGATGTCTCCATTTCATTACTGCACGGCCATTCATCACACCCACGGCCAGGGTGACTTTGCCGGTACTTTCGTGTGTGTGGGAGATGTGACCCAGACCATAATCACTGGCGACAAGGCACAAGGCTCGGCACTGCTGGGCCAGGGCCCTGGGAAACACACCTGCCCTGTGTCCTGGGCTTGCCTGGGCACCTGTTCCCATGCAGCCCTGACAGGATGGGGAGGGTCCAGATTTGTGGTCCTCCTCATAGCAGACACTCCTGTATACATTAGCAAAAGTCCTGCCTCTGTCCCAGTAGGCTCAAAGTGGGTGCTGGTCACTTTTTTGGGCCCTGTTTCTCCCCATACCTTATGTGGAATATGTCTGCATGTGTCAGACCCTCACAAGCAGTTTCTCCAGTATTGGATGCTTTCAACTGTCCTAGAACCCTGGAGGCTGCAGGATCAGGCCTCTGGGCCCTCAGTATCACGGACATAGGCCAGGATTTGTTCCACCACTACCACCACCACCTGCAGGAGGTGTACCTGCCCAGAGCTTATTCCCCTAGAGGAAGCCTAGGAGAAACAGCCTGAGTGCCTGAGTTTTTCAGTTCAGCCGCCCACAGGAGCCAACTCATCCCCTCACCTGCCTCTTCTCCACCTCCCTTAGATGCTGCTGGGCCATAACCAGGGCCTCCACCACCACCAGCCTTCATAGGATCGATGCCGTGATTGTAAAAATATTGTACATCAATGTCATAATCAAGCATGGGGGGTAGAAAGGTCAAGGTGGGGTCAGGAAACCTCTGCATGTCAAGGCCCACCCTTGCCAGGACCGTAGCCTAGGAAGGGGGACCCTCCAGCACTAGCAAAGGGCAGTGGGAGGGTCAGCCCAGGCCTTTTATCACTAGCCAGATCCTAGCTCTGCAAAGCCTGCTTTGAGCAGGCAAGTCAGACAGGGTCCTGTCTTGCAAAGCTCAGCATGGATGTGGGCATGGAGAGGTGACACCTTCCCCCAAGGACTCAGGAAGCCGTAAGGGCTGGTCTGAGGCAGAACAGTGGGAAGACAGATGGGTGGGTAGTGGCGGCCATGGCAACTCCAGACATGACCCATCCCCGTGGTTTATGGGCCGGACACGCACCCCGCTCAGCTGAGGCCCCATCATTTGTCTCTCTTAGTGTGTGTGCCTGTGCTGTGGGGGTAGAGGGTGGAGGAAGGAGGGGCTGTGCTAGGCAGTTGACAGGAAGGGGAATGGGACAGGAAGGGGCCTCGGAGAGGGAGGGGTTAGGATGGGAACCATGGGCTGTGATGGTGCCAAGAGAGGGACTATGATAGGGTGATTTTCTTCCTAAATAAGTCTGGCCCTATCAGGGCACCTCCAATCCTTCCCGTCTCCTGCACCCTAGGGACCATGGCCGCTGTGCATATTAAGAATAAGTCCCCTCGTTATCTGCAATTACCCAGCGGCCACACACCTCATTTCTTCCAGCAGAAAAGAAAATGAGTTTTCTATTGACTTCATCTGGCTCCTCCCTCATTGCTGGACATATCATTCAATTTGCTTCCCCTGGCCCAAGTGACTGTCCCAGCCCCAACCCCTAGGTCACCAGCGATCCAGTGGGCAAGCACTGATCTCCCACCTGTGCCTGGCCCTGTGCTGAGAGAAGGTCCTCGTGTCCCAGTCTCCGTCCTTGACCTCTCCCCACTCTACACACTGGATAACTTCATCTAATTGTGGGTTTCAGCTACCGCCTGAAGATCACCGTCTCCAGCCTGGACAGCTTCTGGACTTCACTCCACATAATCCTGAACATCTCTTTCTAGATAAATAAACTCAAAACGTCTAATCATGAGCTAATTTTCTCCCCAAGAGGCTTCTTACCCCTCACCCTGCTATGTTCTCCTTCCCAGCAAATGGCACCATAATCCACCCAAAATGCCCAAAGAAACTTGAGAGTCATGTTGCTACTCTGCCCTCACTCTCTAAATCCAATTAAGTATGAACTTCTGCAGATTTTCTCTTATTCTCTGCCTAATCATCTCGGATTACAACAGCCTGTTCTCTTTCTCCCTTGAATTCATTCTCTTACAGCCAGTGATCTTTCTTACATAAATCTGACCATGTTCTTCCTCTTTAAAGCCATTCAGTGGCTCTCCTTGCCCTCAGTTTAAAGTCTACACTTCTGTATTATCTCTTAAAGCCTCTGCAAATATTGATCCCTGCTACCTCTGGTTTCTGCCATGCTCAACCCTCAATCCCTGGACTCCAATCTCAGGACTGTTTTCTTAAAATGGCAAAGTGAGTTTTGGAGCCGGACAGACATGTTTCCAATCTTAACTTCACCCACTGGCTGCATAACACGCAGTTAAGGGCTTAGCATCTCTAAATACTTGGGTTCCTCCACTAGGGTGATAATGGCCTTGCTGTTATTGTGAAGACCAAACAAGGTGTTGCACCCACGTCTTTGCACATGCTGTTCTTCATGCTTGGATTAACTACTCTTTCTGAAGAAAAGGCAAGGAAGCTAGTTTTCTGGAGGATCCAGTGGTGAGAAAGTGTAAACCATACAACTGATAGCACAGATGACTGATTGGGGCTGGCAGACTTGGTGAAATCAATTGGCATTCATTCCAAATTCTGACTACGGATCCTGTTTACTGGGTATTTCTGGAGTCTAACTTGTTGCAGTTGGCCCACTACAATACAGAAAGGCCAGGGAAAGGAAGGAATTTGCTCTGGTTCTCCTAGCAAATCAGTGGAATGGCAGTCATGGGCTTCAAGCTATAGGCTCTTTTTCTAGCCCTAGAAGCCTTGATAAGAGTCCATGCAAACTACTGTTTTTTTTGTTTTGTTTTGTTTTTTGTTAAGTCTATGGCCCTGCTATAAAGTGAGGAAACTTGGCAGAAGCAGCACTAGAGACAGATCTGGGGCTTTTAATAGGCCAAAAGTTCAGAGAGAGAGAGAGCAGCAGGGTGAGTCTGGTGGCAACACAGTCTCTTGGAAAGTTTTTTGCTTGAAGCTCTGGGGGCCGCTTGGATTAGCAGGCTTGTCTTCCAGCACCTCTCATTGAGCTAAGGAGGCCAGCATGAAGCTGCTGTACGGTGGGAGTAGGGTTGCAGGGAGCCCTGTACCCACAACAGAGGCCTCCAAGAGTAGGTCTTCCTCACCTTCAAATTCTAGAAGGCTAACCTTTGGTTCTGTTTTGTTTTGAAACAGTCTTGCTTTGTCACCCAGGCTGGAGTGTAGTGGAGCGATCTCAGCTCACTGCCACCTCTGCCTCCAATTCTTGTACCTAGGCCTCCCAAAGGGCTGGGATTACAGGCGTAAGCCACCGCACCTGGCCAGGCTAACCTGTTTTTATATTTCTGCAGGATCATCAATTTGTGACAAGATGACCCTCTCCTCTTCTTTTTTGGAGCATTAATATTCTCAATGTTGGAAATATTTTTACATTGCCAAGACCATAATGTGAGGAGTGCAGCTGCATAAATCCTTGAGAAAAGATTAGTGGGGGTAGCACCTAACAAGGAAGGATAACCTTGTTGGCTGCGCCCAAGGACAGTCAAATGTCTGCCTGACAAAGAACCTGCACACAGAAGAGTCGCTCAGATCACTTAGGACTCCCAGAAAGAGCTCACAAAGGGCAAACAACCTAAGGCTGATATTCTCCATT